GATCTGCCCACCTTGGTCTCCCAAAGTGCTGGCATTACAAGTGTGAGCAACCGTGCCTGGCCCCTACCTCCACATTATTTCTGATGCATGTTTTATAGCACATGTACACTAGTCATCTATTTAAAATTGTGAGGTGGTACCACACACAGTAACGATTAAATTTAACTTACGGCAGTGAAAGCATAAACTTTGGTTACTATCACAGATGGAATTGGCTGGGTGCAGTGGCTCACACCTGTAATCCGAGCACTTTGGGAGGCCAACGTGGGCAGATCATTTGAGGTCAGGAGTTTGAAACCAGCCTGGCCAACATAGTGAAACACTGTCTCTACTAAAAATACAAACAAAAAATTAGCTGGGCGTGGTGGTGGGCGCCTGTAATCCCAGCTACTCGGGAGACTGAGGCAGGAGAGTTGCTTGAGTCCAGAAGGCGGAGGTTGCAGTGAGCAGAGATCATGCCACTGCACTCCAGTCTGGGAGAGACTGAGATTCTGTCTTAAAAAACAAAAAAACAAATGGAATCATCAGGCAGAAGTGAATCTAGGTGGTAAAATCCCAAGTAGTAGTTGTTGTTATTTATTAAGCATCTTTTGGAATGACATTAATCTTTGGTCTCACATTTGAGAAAAATAGTGTCATCAAAATACAATAAACTGACAATTTTTTTTTTTTTTTTTTGAGACGGATGCTCACTCTGTCACCCAGGCTGGAGTGCAATGGCACAATCTTGGCTCACCGCAACCTCTGCTTCATGGGTTCAAGTGATTCTCTTGCCTCAGCCTCCCGAGTAGCTGGGATTACAGGTGTGCGCCACCACACCTAGCTAATTTTTGCATTTTTAGTAGAGATGGGGTTTCACCATGTTGGCCAGGCTAGTCTTGAACTCCTGACCTCAGGCGATCCGCCTGCCTCGGCCTCCCAAAGTGTTGGGATTACAGGAGTGAGCCACTGCACCCAGCTGACTTACACATTTTAAACAATTTTTGAAACAGTTTTACTAAGAAATATAACCCATGTAAAGCTATTGCTAAAGCCTTTTGGCTGAGGCAGTAACTAATGAGACTCTGTAGAATATAAAGGTGCAGTAGGGTAAAAAAGTCTACCGCTATTGAGCCATGAGTCCAAAATCTTAAATAAAAAAAGTCTGGCCAGGCGCGGTGGTTCACGCCTGTAATCCCAGCACTTTGGGAGGCTGAGGCGGGCAGATCACGAGGTCAGGAGTTTGGGACCAGCCTGGCCAGCATGGTGAAACCCCATTTCTACTAAAAATACAGAAATCAGCCAGGCATGGTGGCATGCACCTGTAGTCCCAGCTACTCGGGAGGCTGAGGCAGGAGAATGGCGTAAACCCGGGAGGAGGAGCTTGCAGTGAGCTGAGATCTGGCCACTGCACTCCAGCCTGGGCGACAGAGCGAGACTCTGTCTCCAAAAAAAAAAAGGAAATGTTTCTCAACTAAAGGTGCCCTTTGCCTGCAAGGTACATATTGCAATATCTAGAGATATTTTTTGATCGCCACAACTAGGAGTGTAGGGATGTTACTGGCATCTAGTGGGTGAAGGCCAGGGATGCTGCTAAATACCCTATAATGCACAGGACAGCTCTCACAGCGAAGAATTATCTAGTTCAAAATGTCAATAGTGCTGAGGCTGGGGGGCAGAGGAGTTGAAGGGTAGAAAGGTAGGCAAAGATATAAAACTGTATAAACATTTACAAGTAGGTTAGGTTTAATATTATCAGAATTCATGTGTATTACTGCAACTTACTCATTTTTACCAAGTTTTAGATTTTTAAAAAGAGGTTTGAAGGAACTTAGATTTGTTTTTTCTAATATTTATCTAAGATTGAGAGAATGGTCTCTCTAAAAATATTTCAGGTCCATCAAAATATATAAAAGCTTTCAATAACTCAAAAAAAATAATGTCTAAATATAATTTCAGGTCTTACAAATGAAGCTCTAATCTGTATCTAGGAGTAAGAAGGCACAGTCACATCAAGCTGAAAGGAAAAGTAC